CCCTGCAGACCTGCCCAGCAAAGGGCAGAACCACCCCGTGGCCCCACAGCTGCACACTGGGGCCAAGCACAGCCATACAACAGAAAGCAAAATTTAGAGCAGGTGAACACAGCTTCTGGCAAGGCTCCTTCAAGCATTGGAATTGGGGAGGGAGGGGGGCTCTGCCCTCTCCTCTGATTTTCTGTGCCAGGCACAGCCGGGTGCAGCCAAGAGGTTGGACCAAGATGCTATTTCTGGCACTTGAGGCTCCTTAAAGTGGAGACGTGAGAACACGTGGTGGGAACCAAACCAACCTATTTATAAAATGCAGGAGACTTGATCGGGTTCTTACTAGAAGTGGGATGAGACATCGCCAACACCAGCTCTCCATTCCTCCTCTCCCCATGCCAGCTGCCCTCCCGACCTGCTCCTGACAAGGGGCTCCCACATCTTCCCTTCACAGCAGAAACAAGGAAGTTCATTTGACTTTCTAGACCTCATGTTCTTTCTTTTCCTTCCTTGGGAGAAGCAGAGGGGGAAGGCTGGAAGCAGGCTGCATGACGAATCAAATGGGAACAGGAGAAGGGAGCAGTGATGAGTTTCTGTTGTGTGCAGCATTACTCCCGAAGCACTTCCAGTTTGCAGGTGTCATCTGACTTTTTTTTTTTTTTTTTTTCTCCCCACTCCTTGGCTCAGAATCCCATTTCCTTTCCCAGGCTGCTGCTATATCCAAAAGCTTCCTCCCCCTCCTCCCTGGGTCTCCGCCGGGTTAGTTGTACTCTGAGCAAAGAGCACGTTCCACAGGACCGTTTTGCACAGGGGCTCCTTGGATATTTTGCCCCCTCCACCGAAACTATCTTCCATGCGCGGCTGCCCTCACCTCCTCCCTTTCTTTATGCTCGGGGCCGTACTCCTGCACCACTCTTCCAGGGACACCCCTCGCCTAAACATACAAACCTTCTGCTGCAGTGCTCGGCTTTTAAGGAGCTACCAGAAAAGCCATAAGCAAACAGGGTCACAGACCCAGGCTCTGCACAGGCAGCCTGCACTCGATCATAGCTTCTCGTGACCAAGCCCTTGGAAACAGAGCTCCCTCTGCACACACCACCCCCCTCGCTCACTCCTCTGCTCAGGAAGGCAGCGGTGGCTACCAGTGTGCGTCCTGTGACAGATCACATACGGGCTGAAAACATCCTGCAGGCTTCCTGCACAGCTGAGAGCCTCTTCCCTTCTCCCCCAAACACACACCTGCCGTTTTTGGTCTTCAGTGTCTGAAAATGCTTTTAAGTCCAGCCTGAGAAAGAAGGAAAAATGGTTCTTTTGTATCTGGCCACTCACTTCACGCTCACCAGGACACTTCTGCCAGTGCAAAGGCCCTTCCGTGTCGAGGTATCACACAGTTCCCTGTCCTCATAGGGGTAACGGCCCAAGGCATTAAATAATGCTTACTTACCAATGTCAGGCTACTCAGGCCGAGGATTGTGGTTCAGAGAAAGGGAAAACTAAGGTCCGTGGTAAAAACAGGTCTGACACAGGGCCCCTGGAGGAAACTTGTGACACCTTCTTCTTGCTGATCTTCACTTTGGAGGGCTAAAGAGCTGCCTGCTCTCATTCCCAACCTCACTTCTGGGTTGAGGTTAGCGCTAAGGGAACAAGCAAGCTGTCAACAAGACTAAGAACCGGACCCATAAATATCCTGCAAAGCAGACTGAAGAGGGCAGTCAGTTTTCTTTGTCAAATAATAAGCATGGTGATTTAGGAGTGCGTACCTGTCCTCTGCATCCTCTTAGGTGGGGCTGAGGAGAGTAGGCAGAGGTTCTAACTTATTTCAGTAGCAATAAGCAATTCCTGAAGTCACTCGACAGCTAGTTTGTGGTGGGTTTTAGTCTTTCCACTTCACAAGGTCCCCTGCCCAGCTCTCAGATGACTGTCAGCATACTGAGCAGAGGTAACCAGGTTTGGGTGGGAGCAGAACTTTAAGTGGGAACGAACTGAAAAGAGCAGGGGAAGGTAGCACAACTCTGATTTGTTGTTGTTACAGCAAAACATACATACATACATGCATTGTACTTACATGTTACATATTCTGTAATGTGACATTTTAGATGGTGTAATTATATCAACATGCAGACTCAGTTCACATGTTGCCAAGAAGTATGGACGCTTACATCAGTTAGGGACCATTAAATGCATTGCTTGGAATAAAGACACCAAAGAATTAATTTTAAAAATCTTTATGTGAATATAAAAGAATTCTTTCCAAAGAAAAATAAAACCAAAAGTTTAAAAATTAGTGCAATTTTTCAAGTTCTATGCAACACAGTGTTTACATTTGTTTTAAACAGAAGATGTAGACACTGTAACACTGAAAACTTTAAACTCTAGCTTGACTAGTGGGGGGAAGGGAAAAAAGCAAAAAAGTTAAGAAAGTTACTTTACTAGACATTACCAACTCTTAAACAATTGCTTTCATTTTCTAATTCCTAAACTATTTATGGCTACCTAAATAAAACATCAGTATTGCTTATATTACTTATTTCCAAGTAAGTGTATATTGTAGAAAATAGAGTACCCATATATATATTTTTAATGAACAAAAAAATCAGTTAGGTGAAAATTTATTTTCAGTGAACGTTTCTTAATCCACTATAATACAGTTGTTGCAAAAGAATCTTCTCAAAACTGCTGCCCGATCCACCTTGAGTAAAAGAACCTATAGTCCAAAATTTGTATTATTGCTACAAAACACTTCTCTTCCATAGTGGTTATTCTTCATCTTATATAAAAAAAAATATTAACAAATGATATGTCAATCAGAACATATTTTTGTTTCTTTGCATCTATATTACCCGGTTTACTGGAAACTGGCTAAAGTTACTAATAATGCTGATTAAATTCAGCAATATTCAGTGATTTCACCTCATAATTTGAATCTGTTCCTAACTGTGTTGTCTGAGCATGATACGAATTCATCTTGCAGCAGAGACAAGTAGCCTCTGTCTTCGGCCTGCCTCAGCAGTGGTGCACATTACGTCAAAGAACATTGTATTGACATTCTTCTGTTGCGAAGTGTTGCATACAACTCAGCTGTAACACAGCAATGCTATTAGCAGCTTTTTTTGTTTGACATGAATGAAGTTAACAGTAAAATCATGCTTATTCTAATGACCCTTTCTGCACACCCAGATGAGCTGAAGTGAATACACCACCATGGCTTATAATCAAATATTTATTTCTACAGATCAGTTCCTCATTCATAGTACGTAATTCAAGTTTAACCAGTTATAAACTAGCCATTCTTAAACAGGTTCTCAACCCCAAAGAAACACTGAAGTTATAATCACAGGCTTCACTTCTAACAGTTTGGAAAAGTCCCAAATAAGTAAAATTTTATCTAATACCTGAAAACCCGATTCATTTTTGGCAACCCCAAAAAGACTACTGGGGGCTACGTTGCCCTGAAAAAGGCTGATCCCTGTCTGTAGTTCTGTATTTAAATTCTTCCATCGCTAGTCAGAAGACAAGCTTCCAATTAAATGATAGGAAGGTTCTTGGTCATTTTTGGCCCCAGGGTCTGCAGTTTGAGAAGCGTACATCAAAGACATTTGTTCCAAGTTTTTCACTATTCAGCACCTGATATGACTACTGACACAGGTCTACTACTGTGAGAAGTACGACAAATGCATCAAGCCTACTAACTAGATGAGTATTTGAAAGACGTCCATGAAAGTTTCCATGCTGTAAAAAACGAGGGTTAAGAGATCCATTCAACACCATCAGCGACAGTTTCACATTTCGCTAAACACACTGAAGTACCAGGCTTTAGAAATGTAAGCATCTTGCTAAGACTTAGTCTCCCCTTCCACTGCTCACCACCATCTCCCACACCACTAGCAGATTAAACAAGCAATTGTATCTTAAAAATACAAACCCCAATAATATCACTGCAGCAATAAAAGACCTCAAAACCCAAGAGGTAGTCAAAAGAAGCACAGAGTCCTGAAGAACACAACCTGACAGGCAGAACTGTCCAACAGCAGTTTGGCGGGCATATTCTCTGCTCATACCACATTTAGCGTGAGACTGGCTTTTAAACAATTCCTTGTGTAGACAGAAGTTTTGAAAGAGGAAATCCCTGTTGAATGCCTAAATGTAGCACTGTAAAACTATCACCACAACTAAGAAGCAACGCTAACTAAGTAGTAAAAATGAATACTTCCCTTTTCTCCAGCATTGCGTGCAATGCCCAATAAAGATTTTAAGATGCTGGGGAAGGAAGAAATCAAAGAACAAGCCATACTGAGGGGCATGCAAAATGGAAGACTACTTAAATTTCACAATTCAAAACTTAAATTCTGCAAAGCTGAACCCCGCTCTCAAATCAAAGGTGGCCTTAATGGTGAAGACAAATATATGCTTTCATTCACGCATATGGCTAAGTTTTATATGAGATTATGGACTGGTACAGCACCCTCAAATACTTAGTTTAAGCTTATTCATTTTATTTTAAGGGCTTCTGTAATTTTATTTTATTCAACTACGGGTATAATGAATTTGTTGTAGACAGTTTGCACAGAAGAATGGACATTAACAAGTTTCCTAAAAATACAGTTCACCACAAAAATAAGACATTTGGTAAATTAAGTGACACAGATGTTGTGAAAGATAGCAACTTCCCGCACACAAATTTCAGATATCAATCCCCATTTCATCTTCTTCGATCTAGATACTGCAAAACTGTTATAGTTTATGCACTTTTCTCCCTGCCAACAAACAATCTTTGCTGCCAACAACTAGCAAAGCTATCTTTCATTCACCTGCCTAGCACAGTTAGTTCAGAATAACTGAAGTGAAACTACATTTAAAAAAGAGGAAAATTAATTTCTATGCACAGGGTTGTATAAATAGCTGGAAATAAATGGGGTTCCTTCCCACCTAACCCACTTTCTGCAAATAAATGCAGTGTACCAATACGCCAGACTTTTAAAACACAGCCCAGACTTTTGAATTATTGTAATAGCTTTTTTTTCTTACACAGGAAAAGACAGCTTATTTGGCTTTAGTGAATTCAACATCTTAAAGACAGGTTTTCCTTAATGTATATATGCACAAACTTAATCTTTTCTTTTTCAAATAAACTGAGTAATCACTTGAGATGACAAAACAAATCCTGTCTTTTGTTATATAACAAGTCAACTGGTACTACACCTTTTTTTCTTTTTCTATAAATGCAAGTATTTTCTTGCTTTTAAAATTGTACTTTGTACTCTAAAAAAAGTATTTTTAAAAACATGGTACCAATCTTTTAAATTTATTTTTAGAAGAGCCCAGCAAAAATGCCCAATATTGCCAGTTTCCTGAAGGACATTTTTGCATAATATCTTCCCATTACAAAAGTCAACTTTCTAGCCCAAACCCATTAAATAAAGTTTTAAATATAGAGTGCCGATTTTTATATTTACAATATATTCTGAAGGCAAATATAAATCTTTTAAGTTGTGCTTGTAAATACATACTGCAGTTATTAAATCTACTTCTACTTGGAAAACTATGTGCTAACTTCTAGACACACCACTGATCAATTTAATCACTCCTTGATAGGTTCTGATGTTGAATTCGCAGTTGCCCACCATTCTAATCTCCTCTTTCATCAAGTAGTTAAAGTGGAAGCTATAAAACATTTAAGGACACTTTAGCATATAAGTTTTCCTCATGGTCCTTGTGGTTTAATCAGATGTCGCACCCGGTACTTTAACAGTAAGATTCCTTCTGGTATTGGTGACATGACGTTGTTGAGCTAGGAATGAGCGTCCAGGACCGTCTCTGCAGGCACCACTACTGCCAACTAGTCTTGCTTCCATACCTAGCTTCTGAAGAGTTAGGCTCTGCAAATAAGTTAAACAACATTTACACTACAGCAAAAACAGAAGAAAAAAGACTGGCCATCTTTCTTACACAAAGCTCATGCTTACTTAGTATGCACACAGAATTTCTTTTACTGTCTTTCTTATATACCCTCTTGCTGCCATAAGAGGTATGAACCAAGGCTGAAGAAAGTAAGATTCATACAGAATGTCTTAATTTTAGCTTATTGCAAAGTTGTTCCTTTATTAAGTAAGCTATTTAATTTTACTTTCCCTTTTTGGTTTTCCATTCTGGTCTGTCTTAATGAAACTCTATTTAAACATTGCTTCATATGAAGATTAACAACTTTCTCCAGTTCTTTTCACAGCAATCTGACATCAAACATTCCAACAACCTTTGCAACGCTGCTGCAGGATAAGATGGCGGCTCTAGCTTTATTTCACAAATACTATGCTAAAGACACTGAACATCTAAAGCAGGAGTCTGGAAATCTTTTGAACCACGGCCTCCCTTTGTCTCAAGCCCAAAAACTTCAACAGCAAATGCTATTTAACATTCAGGAATTTAGCCCGCTAAATCCAGATGGAAGCTTGTGGCAGCAAATAGTACATTACTAACATGGAAGTCGTGGCCTATGCCAAATTTTAAGTCTTCTGTTCCAAAGCACAGAAGACAAGCAGAAAACATATAACGAAATAATTTTACAAAATAGTTGACTGTTAAAATATTTTCCCTTTACGCTGCTATCAAAACTGTTGATGCTGGTATTTCCCAAGTTATCTCAATAGGATCGGAAATTCCAGCTAGAACGCACTCAAGTTTCCATTCTGGCTTGAAGTCAGAATTAGCAAGTGGAAGAGTGATCTCATTTTAAACTGGAACTCTCAGGCTTTGTTCCTTTCCTTAGTTCCCTGTTTTCAGACGTGAGGCCATGCTAATCTGCAAGTCCAATTTTTTCTGCCACAAGTAGCTAAACTACTAGCTTCCTCTCCTAAGCACCAGTTTATAGTGAATCTAAAAAAAGCAAAACAGTGATGTAAGATTTAACTGTCACATCTAGCAAAATGTTTTTCCGATTTCTGAAATATCAACAAATGAACTTCTGACCCACCTTGTTATACCATGCAGTTACAATTAGCTTTTCCTCATAATCACGTAACTTAGCAAGTTTGCATTCAGCCTGCAAGCAGACAAGAGAGAAGACAATCTCAATTAAAACACAAAAATAATCTGCATAAAGATATTGCAGTCCATTGAGTGAAAAAAACACATGCAGCAGAAATGCTTAAATATGCAAAATAACTAGAAGGCTTAGAACTGTAAATAAAGATACTTCCACAAATGACTATAAAAGAAGTTATAGACTACTTCAAGAAGAGGCTAAACTTTACACAAGTTGCAGTTCAACTTAGAAACATACTTTCAGGGTGTGTGGCAAGGGGGAAATGCATGCAAGTGTAGGGTGTACCAGAAAGTCTACAAATAATTTAGTATTTTTTTTACTCAAAAGTCAAAGACAGGGATGTACCTCTAGTGGCTGAGTATTCTTAGCATGTTACTGAATTGCTATTATATAGTATGCTTACCTAGTACATACACATAGAAGAAATCTGAGGCCACAGCGTTTATAAAGTCAGACCTTTCAGCCTACTAACTCGTGTTGAGGAATTTTGTATTTGCTCAGGTAACTGTTTTAACCAGTCCATCAATACTGCTATAAAACAGAATAGAGCATCTCCCACATTTTTTGTGGTCCTTGGACTACTGTCAACAATCCTTTCGGGATTTCAGCCAAGCAGACTTCACTGAATTAACAAGTTTTACTCTTCTAGCTAGTTTCAAGGACTCAAGTACATGAAACCACTGATATCAGAGGTCCAGTAAATTAAACAAGTCACTGCTCAAATACCTAGTCCCTCACACAAACTAAGTTACATTACTACTGAAAAAGGTCAGACTCTGCAGCTCTGTACAAGTTACTGTAACATGGCAAAACTATTAGTCTTATGAAGTATTTCACTTATAGCTTTCAAGAGGGTTTAGAAAGAACCCAAAATTAAGAGTTTCAGTTGTACATTGAAAAACACTGTTGAAAAGTAAACTGCTCTGACAGACTTCTACTAGGATACAAGGTTAATTAAGCCAAATTAAAAGTCTCCAGGTTTGATGGTTTGTGCAGTTTCTAACTGACTGCAGCATCAAAGGGTACTGGATCATAAGTAAACAGTAACTTGAGTGTCTAACATCAGAGATGGCAGAAGATATTAGAAGTTGTTAAATATATGTAAATTTTTACCTCTAGTGCTTCAATTTTTTTATCTTTCTCTGTTATCTGTTTTCTGAGCAACATAATTTCTGCTGATGCTGGATTTAGCTTGGGGTCTAAGGTTTTTATCACCTGTACAAAGCAAAACAAAAGCATTACAAGTCAGGTTTGGTTCTCTACAGCTCTGCATCTCATTTGCTCACAGCAGAAATATGAAAACAGACTGAGCACTAGTCAGGCAATTATGATGAAAACTAGTCCGTTACACTGTAAAACGGAAGATATCAAAGGGTACAAAGGAATCATTAATGCATCTCTTGTTTTAGCCTAAACCCCATCCTCTCATACACTTACCTGACTGCAATTTGACTAAAAATGCAACATGTAGCTGCTAATTTTAATTGGGAGGCGGAGCAGGGGAACTCAAATCAATCTGTTTAACAATTCATGAGGAAGGAATGTGTATGTTCAGAAATATTGCACTCACGTTTCTTGCTTTCTCGAGGTACATTTTATATCTTTCTTCCATTGCTTTCATATCCTCATCTTTTTTCCGCAAAGCTGCTTCCAGCTCTCCAATCTTCTGGGCTATTTACAGAAATTATCAGAGACACACGAAATAAAAACACACACGGTACTTTCAAGGCTTCTGTGTTCTCTTGATTTAACCACCCCCCAAATAAACTTTCTAGCTACTACACAATTTCTTAAGTTCTTATTTTTGTTTCAGTTGTACCATAAGGTCCCATCTGACCCTGAATTCCCATTTTACAGAGTATTGTTCAACAAAACTAAGCCCCCATGAACCTCTCCTTGCCCACTACCGTGCGCAAAAACTCCCTCCCTCCACCTCCGTTTCAGGTTTAAAGCTAAGCTGTAGCAGAAAGCCTTATTCAGACAAGAATCCCATAGCCCAGTGGCTATTGGAATAATTTCAGAAGAAACTTAACATAGTCTCATTAAAAAAACAAAAAAACCCACACAAAACCACTTACGGTTCTGACTAACATCAGGTTGGAGTTCTGCAAGATCAGCCTCTTTCTTCTGTAACTCATCATGAACTTCATTCAACTTTTCCCTACGAATGAAAGGCTGGGCTAAGGATTAAGCTCACAAATAGTTCCATGCACAGTTTTAAGAGATGAGAGCCAAAACTTGATGGTGGAAGTGTTTAAACAACTATTTTAAACTCTGGCAATTCTTTTGAGTTTAAATAGAAATATTAGTATGTACTTTTGAAGAACCATAAAAGTTGTGACTTCTGAATTGAGTCTCATTTACCTAAAACTAGAAGAAAAAAGAAAATGAACAAAAAACCTTCCAGCACCTCCTTAGCAGGAACTACATATGCTGAAAGGATGGAAGTATTTCAGAAGAATGAAATACATTTTGAGTCCAGTAAGAGCAATTAAGGTTTTAGCAGTCTGGCGTAGAATCAGAACAGTTAAAATACTATTAGTGATGAAGAGACAGTTAAGTGGATACTAGTATTACAAGATTATCATGATCAGAGTAGACAAAACTAGAATGCTAATACTTAACTCACTACATGCATCATTCTCAAATCAGTGGCTTAGAAAAACAAGACATCCCTACAAAGACCTAGGCAGTTTCTGTGCTACAACAGTCAAATTATTTAGCATAAATAAGCTATTGTGGATACACGTGCCTTACTTACATATGTGCTGCCAACTGCTTCAGGTTGCTAGACTATGAAAGGAAAGAGTTAAAATTCAGTTATATTTCAGTATTTCATACCATGCAATATCAAAGTGCTTTTACAAATCAGCCAAGAATACTTAGCACACTTTAAGTCGAAGTGAATAAATCCTAAGAAAACTGCATTGTTTCATGCATTTTTGTAACTGCATTCATTTTTTTTTGCATCGCACAGATACCAATTCCAGCATCTCTTTTCTTTAAAGCTATCCTTCTCACTACACCACGATTTAATGATAAAACTAAGAGATTTTTAAAAGTAAAGTAAGAGGTAGAAGAGTTACAGTTCCTTAAAGAGGGTGGGGGGAAGGAATCACATAAAACATGAGCTTTTCAATTGAAATGCAGTTGGTGTGGGGGTCTTGTGGATTCTCATACTATAGAGACTAAACTCATCTGCTCTGAATACAGTGGAGCCAAGTCTGTGTCACCTAAACTGAGGGAGTTGTTCTCAGGCAGGAGAGAATTTTTAGAATATATTGAACAGCCTCAATTGTTTAAGATCTTTGCTTGTAAGATCTTTTGAAAGGTGTGTGTTTGTTCAGGTTGGGGGGGGTGGGGGGTGAGTGACCCAAAGGGGCTTCAGAGCTTGCTTACTCTTACTACTGCATCAACTAGTGAATTTCAAACTAACTTTAAAAAAAAAAAGGAAAAAAAAAGAAAAAAAAAGCACCACAATCCTGCCTTCTTAGTACTAGACACACACTGAGACTTCACAGCACTAGAAACACTGAGAAAGAAGAGGCACATCTAAACAAAGGACTTGATGTTACACTGAAGGATTTTAAACAAAACTGGCAAGATGTCTTCAAGGTCAAAACCCTGAACTTTCACTTACTCCTTCAGTCTTGGATCCCTGCTCCTGTAAAGTCTTTTGCAGATCTTCAATCTGCTGCTGTAACTCCACAATACGCTCTTCATTTAGCCTTTTAGGAAGAAGAGACAGTAATTACCCATCTAAACAGATCACAACAGATGGATTTTTCTGTTTCATGTCTGGATGGTAATTTTTTAGAGGGTCTACCCAGCAGCACTTAAGCCACAAAGAAATTGATTTCAAATGCTTTTAGTTTGACTTGAACTTCTACTGAAACAAACACATGGCAGCTTTATTAAACATTTTATAATGAAAGACCTAGAATCATTTTGTTTGGAGAAAACTTAACTACCCAAAATTCTCATATTCTGGTAAACTGCTTTCAGCATTCATTAACTGATAAAGAAATTCAGACCATATCCCAGTGTTACACTATGATTAGTTTGAAGTTCTAGAAATAGAGTTTACATCCATTCTTGGTCTACCAAGAATCAATCAGAGCTAAGAAGAGCGACCTATAAGCAACACTTTCTTCAGAGTATGCTACACACAGATCTACCACATTTTACAACACCACATTTAAGCTACTTTCCTTCTTGCTTGCTTCATAACCCTTCGCTAATTATTACACTGGTGCAAGAAAAGGATAAGTGCCTTCCTGTACAGTGCTACGCTTACAGATGCAAGCAACAAGGCCACTCTGAACGTCCAGAAATCACTTTTTGCTTTATTTTAAGATGCTGTTTCACCCATCACCTTTTCTCAGTTTCTAGCTCGTTCACTGTCCGATGCTTTTGCTCCAGCTGTTCCTGGAGCTCTGTAATACGTTCATTTTCTGATCCTTCCTGTTGCAATAGAAGCATCTTATTTTCATGCTGCAGCCGAATAAACATTTCTCTGAATCAAAAACAACAAAAAGTCACTGTTAATTAAGAAAAAGGTGACTAAGAGTAGGAGGTAATATTCCTGTTTGCTCTCCCAACCTTAAAGTGAGTGAAACAAGTTCTGCTCAAGGATATAGCTGGGCTAACAATGCAATTTTTTATTAGAAGTTAACTTACAATTTTCAAACATCACGAAAGTTTTTTTAAGAGATATGAACAAAGTTTTAAATTAAGTCACTCCAAACCCAGATTTTATTGTGCCTTTATGTTTCACTCTGCCAGACTTTAAAAGTAATATTAGCTAGCCCTTAGCTGTTCTGTCTGTGTATTATTTACTTATTTATTCTGGCTGCCAGTGGCAAGATAAGAATTGTTTCACTCCTTAAAGAGGATGTTTCAAGCCAAACTTTATATCTGATATGCTTTTAAGAAAGAATGAAAAGTAATTACACTATGGGGAAATAATTATTAAAAGCTACATGGGGATCCAGACAAGCATTATGGACGGAAAGCAAGAAGTGGGATACAGAGTCATGTTGCCAAAAATATTGAACTTTCACAGAGACAATATTATGCCCCACCCATGAAAATCCCAAAACAACCTCAACCTTTTTGTCTTACCTATATTCCACTGGCAGAATTTCAGCAGCAAGATTCTCATGGCTTTTAACATGAGATGCACCTGAAATTGCATGGGGAGTTTAGTTTAACAAACTTAAATCACTAATATACATAAAAAAAACCTCTGAAGATAAAGCAATACCTGTTTGACTCAGGTGATGCTGCTGCATCTGTGAATACCGGAGCTCTTCATTTGTCTCTTTTAATGCATCACACTGTACTATCAGTCTCTACAAAGATATATTTGAGGTGGAATTAAGTCTTACCGCACCACTTTAAGACCAAATAACATTAACCAGGAATAGCACTGACACACACACATTTTAAGACACATTTTATGTTTTATATGTATATACACACACACACACACAAGGCACTAAACTTCATTTTTATGGTAGCACTACTTCTGGGAAGGTTTTCCTCAAGCAGAGCATTTGAGAGAGATTTATTAGGTGTTCAAATAAATTCTCGTTCAAGAGACTTACCTCTTTTTCTTTGATTAAAGCTTCGTGTTTTTCTTCAAGTCGCTTCATTTCAAATGCTAGCTTATCAGCTCTTTTTGATTCTTCAGACAGTTTGTTATGAAGCTCCTGGACCTTTTTATAAAAATCAGCAAAATATATTCAGCACATGAATGTTGCAAGATGTTAGCTTTTAAAGGTAAATTAAAACCTTCACTCCTGCCCAGTTCAGCCAAAATAAACATCTGGTCCTCCAAGCTTGGGGGAGGGGAGATGGGATGGGGGGGCTGTGTGCTTGGTTTCTTTGTTGTTTTTTGTTTGGTTTTGTCTTTTGGTTTTTTTTTTTTAATATTTAACTCCTGCATCTCTTAATTAATACTGAAATAAGTGAAACTGAAATAAAACTTCTACAGTTTAAAATAAATTTCCATGAAGAAAGTTAAGAATATTACATACAAGTGATCTCAGTAATAGCCGAACAAACTCTCCCAGGCACATAAATTACCTCAGTTAAAATAAAGAAGAAAAGCCTGCAAACCATGGACAACAAACCAGTTGAGAGGGCAAGTACAGTTAAGCTTGCTCGTTTAATAAACAGGGAAAGCCAGAAAGTGAATGGCAGAGTATAAAGGGAGTTTTCACGAATAAGAAATTCTAAGGGGACAATACAGGTTAAGACCATGGGCTGTTAAATTAAGCTGCTCAATTTTTTTCATTGAAACATAATTAAAATAATTTTATTTAGGTAAGATGACTATCTGAGGGAAAAGTAACATCTTAAGTATAGATGCAACCTTACCTGTCTTTTGTAGGTTTCTAGTTGGGCACGTGCTGCATTGGCTTTCTTCAGTTCATCCTCCAAACTGACTGTATTGTGCATATACATCATGTTGGTTTCCTGCAGAGATTTGACTTGTCTGCGGAAGTCATTCAGATCCTGTAGCTTTTTACGATACACTTCAACAGTTGATTCCAGCTTACTTGCCTTGTCTGCAGTAGTCCTTAAAGCATAAACATGAATTAGAAGAAAGAGTGAGTTTCTTAAAAAGATTAAAAAAGTCAAATTCTGCTTTCATGCAGATTCAAGCTATTTTCAAGGAGACATGCAATGTGCTTAACAGCAGAGTTAAAGCTTACTGCTTTATTTTTAAATGCATAATCAATGCAAACTTGCATTATGCAAGGATCGCTTATAAAAGTTGAATTGCAGGGTTATACATAATTAGAACATAATTGCACTATGAAAATTATCATTTGCAGATATGACCAAGAATTACCAGCTGATCATTAATAAAAATCTATGTGGTATGAAAATATTTGGATCATAAATACACAAACGAATTTTAATATCTATGTTTAATATCTGCCATCTCATGTCACTAGAAGCTAGTACAAGAAAATTATAGTTAAGATTTGTTTCAGATGTTATTTAAGAACCACTATAAGTTAAACACCTGAAAGCACTTTTCTTTCCATGTTTTATTCATACTATTTTATGAATAGCAGACCTGCTTTTGCAATATGATTTGCTTTGGATATTTCTTGGGTGGTCTGGTATTTAATTTAGTTTACACAAGCTGGAATGTTACGCCAAATTCTCAAAGTTATTGTGTATTTCATCTTCATTTTGTTCATCATGTTGCTAACCTAAATCTAGCCTAGAATGCTGACACCAAAAGTTAGGTCAAAGTTCTAGCTGCATATATGCTTTTCTACATCAGAAAAGGCAGCCTCTTGCCAACACAAATGTCCCCTTAATAAGAATGCACACACCCACCCACCCCACCCACCCCCCCCGAAAAATTTCTTAATTCTTGCAGACCTTCAACCTTCCATCCTACATGAAGATTAATTTCTGTATTCATTAATCCTGCTTCACAGAAGAATTCCATGTTGCTATCCTTATGCAAACAATAGTGGCTATGCCTGAAAGCTTGTACTCTCTCTCTGCTTTGTCAAAGGGCCCTTTTCCAACATTTATTTTAGAATTCATTCAGATAAGATCTATCTGCAGAAGTAACGCCTCAGAAAAAATCTTGTTAAATACAAAGCCTTGGATTTAGTCATTAAATCCTCCTAATATGTGTGTGGGGTGCTCTCTCTATTACATACCGAAGAATATCATTTTCATCTTTCAAGGCTCTAGATTCTTCTGCCAAAGAGGTTAGTTCATTGTTTCTATGTTGCAGTTCAATCAATTGTTTTTCTAGGTCTTCACAATGGACACGATAATCATCTTTTGCAGCTTCAAGCCTACCAGATCAAAAACAGGAACTCTGTTAAGAACTCATTGTTATTACACATCTTTCATTTAGTGCTAGAACGACTAAAAATAAGACAAAGCAAAGCTACTGATTTAAGCAGCCAGAAAAATGGTACTGTAAGCATGGAACATTTTATGGTCTACCTGTTAAATCATAATGGATTGTATACTGCAAATTTATCATATTAAGGGATCACATGAGAAGTGATTTTTTTCCCCTCATAGGGATCACAGGGAGAAAGACTAATATGTAAAAGAAATCAGTACAGTAAAGAGATATGGTGGGGTTTGGGGGGTTTAAGGTTTTTTTGTTTCGTTTTGTTTACATGCAAATCACTACGTCACTCATTTTCTGCCTTCCATCACCTTTTCTGAAATGTCAAATGGCTACAATATGGCAATTACAAAGTAATATTTTCTACAAGAAGTAACAGTTTCTTTTTCTTTTTAAAGGTAAGGACTGTCCTTAAAATATGTTTATACAGTACTACAAAGCTTTTATAGCAAAAGAAATTGAGATGGAAAATCCTGAAAGAGTACCAGAAATTCTCAGGACGTATTTGACATGACAAGTGAAGGATTTTTGAGAGAAATCATTTCCTACCTGAAGTTTTCTTCTTGCAGTTGTTCCAGCTGCAACTGTGCATGAAAATACTTTTTTGCAACCACAGTATTTGGATCATCAAGAGAGTCATCTAATTGCTCTAGCCTGTCATTCATAATCTCATTTTCTGACACCAAGCTGTTTTTTTCATCCTGGAGGGCAGCCACCTAGTGCAGATAAAACAGCATCAACATTTTAGGACCTGTCCAACTGGAAAGAATTAAAGCAAGACAGCAGTACGTCACCAAATTAGTTTATTAAAAAGGCTGAGCATTTGGAAATTTTAGAATGTAATTTACACAGCATACTTGAGCATACAGATGCTTTAGTGTATGACAGTTATGAAGCACTAAAGGAAAAGTCCCTCTAAAAAAAGATAAATTTTTGTAACTGAAACCATGGTAAAGGCAGACAATGTAATATGGAGAGAAACTGATACTTTCATTAAAAAGGATACCATGGACGCCGTACAAAACACTAAGTATTGGTGTAAAGGTACTCTCCATCTTGCTTGTACTTAACAATAAAAAGCAGGATGGCACTGGCTAGCACACTAACACAGTACTGTCGTGCACTCAGCAGTGAATGGTTGCGCAAGAAGCCGTTTCAGGTGCCATAAGCTAGTAAGCACACACGCAAAAGAAAAAACCTAGACAGCTTCATATAGAGCATGCATTTTTTGCAACAATCAAACAAGTTTGATATTGAAAGTGTTCACAGCTAAGCAAATGAGAATACAACACTTTATTGAAACAGTAAGTATATTAACAGCCATAAAATGGGGAAGGATTAAGAGGATAGAACCTTTAAAGTTTTTCTAGTGAAAGCTGTTGTGTTAATTTTAACATCCTGTCAAACATAAGAGCATGTAGCATGTGTTAGTTAACTGGCATTTAAACAGGGACAATATGCTTTTTGGGTTATGTTTTCCTGAATCATAAAGAAAACCTACCTTTCTTATACTCTTGGAAAATATCAAGGAAGACTGAGACCTTACAAGTGAATTTATTAAGAATTAGTTTAAATGAGAAGCGTCAGTCAATATTATGGCTTCAAATAAATAAAATTTTAAAAAAGCATATCATGGTGACATTATTAGATTAAACATCAGATATAACCTAGAGCATGTTGTATTAAGAAACAGTTTGTTTGTGAACGTAATTTAAAAATCTAACAGATGTAAGAAACAAAACAGTAATTAATCTACCACTTCATTAGGAGCTGGCTTTCTAGGTTCACTCCTTTTTACATACCAGCTGTCACTTTACTATATACATGAACACACAAACACCTGTGTGTAGAGAGCGCATCTGAGCCTTGCTCAGCATAATACTTCCTGTTCAAGGTTCAGCCACTCCTTAAACATGCACAACATTCACACTTCTGAAATAATGTCTCAGAGTTAAAAAAAAAAAACAGAACAAACTTTCACACAACTCAGAGCAAGTTTTTCATCTTTTCTCAGTTCCTTTCTCATAGCTTTCTCTTTTTCTTTTCTATTATATCAACATAACAGAAGTGGTGTCAAAGTCAACACAAATTATGAAGAGAGATTTTAAAAACACGCCCCAGTATTGAAGAGCTATGGTCTCATTAACCCATCTGTTTATACTCAGCAGTACCTTTCCCTCGAACACCTTCACGCCTTCACCTGGTCCACGCTATGTTATAAGCAACTGGCTTTGTGTAACCTATCATTAATTAATAGAGAAATCTCAAAAGAGAAGTTTGTGGGACAGGACAAAGCCTGGGACTTCTCTAGTGAGACATACTAAGTCTCCTAATGGAAGCAGAAAGTGCAAGTAAATTGTTATCCCAGCACCTCTGGGACCTTTTCAACAGAGAATACACTTTTTGAAGTTTAACAGCTGTAGTCTGTGAGTTCAGCTGTCAAATCAGTCCTCTTGCCCATTTAAAAGAAATCATTTTCTCCTGCAGATTCTGCTCGCAAGTGGTTTTAGATCTCTGCTTTCACTAGGAAGCCTTACTACTGCCTCAAGAAAAAAGGAAATGAAATATCAATTCAATTCTAACAACAGCTTCCTGGGCATGGCAATTAGCTATGAGCTACTTATATATAAAGTATTTTACTTTTTCTGTTGTCATTACCTGTAAGAAATGTAAAACTGGCCTCTGGGGTTTTTTCTGGTTTTCTTTTTTTTTTTGGTGGGTTTTTTTTTTTTTCCTCCCCCCAGAGGCTAATACAGTCAGTATAGCACTCTGGCTCCTATAAGAAGACACCCCCCACACTTTCTCTTTGTTCAGAATCAAATCTGAGATGAACTGCCTCACCAGATAAACCTCCTTTTATTCTCAGATTACAGTGCCATAAAACAGGAATCAGACTTAGGGCTAACAAATGGATTTTTTTTTTCCTTTTTTCTTTAAGAAGTTGATTGAAATGCAAGTTCCTGTTTATTGTTATGAAGTCCCCTCTCCTTTTTCTGAAGAGTGACTTGATTAACTTCTATATGCATTAAAAACGGGGTTTTTTTCGGTTTCTTTTTTTTTTTTGGGGGTGTTTTTTTTTTTTCCTTCCCCCCAGAGGCTAATACAGTCAGTATAGCACTCTGGCTCCTATAAGAAGACACCCCCCACACTTTCTCTTTGTTCAGAATCAAATCTGAGATGAACTGCCTCACCAGATAAACCTCCTTTTATTCTCAGATTACAGTGCCATAAAACAGGAATCAGACTTAGGGCTAACAAATGGATTTTTTTTTTCCTTTTTTCTTTAAGAAGTTGATTGAAATGCAAGTTCCTGTTTATTGTTATGAAGTCCCCTCTCCTTTTTCTGAAGAGTGACTTGATTAACTTCTATATGCATTAAAAACAAAAAGTAGGCCTATTATCAGCATGGTTTGAAAGGATCTATTAGTTTCTATGATTTTTATTTCTCAAAATATCCCCCACGTTGCAACTGTGTACAAGAAAAAGTTAGTAAATTTTAGATAAATTTCAAATTATTTTTTTTAATCAACTCCTATTGAAAACAGCATCATTTTCCTATGATTAAATCTAATGACTGATTATTACATGAACTGTATTTTTTGGACACAGTTCAAAAGACTAGAGGAAGGAGTGACTAAAAATGAAATGGGCATGATAACATTTTTCTGATGGCTACCTGCTACTAAGGGTAAACATAAAGCTAGCAGACCAACCAACCTTGGAGTTAACAGTTGGCACAGGACCTCAGCTTACGCTTCCATCAGAAACTACTTCCAGTAATTGCATTTTGGAGTACAGAATGATTGCTTTCCCCCCACAAACAGCTAAGAATTCTCATAGAAACTTAAAAAACAATGCAAAATTCACTTTGCCCTTCAGAATTTCTGCATCTTAATAGCAGCACCACTACACATTAAAGAAATAAGCGACATGCTGTTTTTTACCTGTAAATCTAGCTCTTGACATCTTTGCGCCAACTCTTCTTTCTCTGCTAGTGCTTCCTGAAGATCTTCCAAAGCTTTTTTAAGCTTTTAAAAGATAAGACAGTCAATCATTCTGGCCCATATCCAAAGCACTCACAGTTCTAGCTTCCAAAATGTCTCAATTGCTTATACCAATTGTTTAAGAGGGATGTTAGGTACACATTGACACAGAAACCGTATATATACACCGCTAGATGAAGATCTCTCTTCCTTTCACCTGCATTTTAAATGACTACCACATGCAGTAAGTAAATTATTGAAACTAAGAATAACATCCAGATTCGTCACAACAACTTAGGCTAAAAGCATGACAAAACCAAACACAGGAACATTCGTATTGTCACAATTTCAAAATCCCTACCTGTTAAATCAAATGCCCTTCGTCTCAGAATAGAAATAAAAATGCTCCTGTATGGGCAAGTACTTTTAAAGACAACTTCATTTTATGTGCAACACCTTGTACTGTTCAGGTTATCAATAATTTTCATGACCCCTTAAAAATAACCTGGAGTGTTTAGCGCAACATCGCTGAGCCTTGATGTATCCCTAGCTCTTCTTGCAATGTAGGTTTGCACTGGCCAGTTTTACTCCATCCAGGAAGATGGCATAGCAGTCACAGCATTTTTTTCTTAAAGAAGCTATAAAAATAGCACATAACTTTTCACTTAATTAGTGCTGAAAAACAGCATTACTTTATTGTATATTCTTTGCCTACATCAGTATGTTGCTCTGCCCTTTGTGAACCAGTATGGTTTAATCAGATCAGCTCTGAGTGGAAAACAGACCAAGCAGTTTGTGCACTCAGAAGACAAAGGAGTGCAATTTATTGTTGAGGTTAATTTTTTTTTTACTTTTAGAATCGGAGAGGCAGAGCAGCTGTCCTCTTCATTTAAGTGATGGCAAGATACCAACTTATTGTTCAGGCTTGAACTACAAAAGCAACAAACATTAGGCAGTTACCTGCTGTTCCATTTCACTTGATGCATCACTTGTGGAAGGACCCATTATCTCCTTGCTCATGAGCTACAGAAAGAGGACACAGAAAAAGAAGGTTAAATATCTGTACGTTCACTGTCTACTGAGTACCAGTTGTATTTACCAACCATGTCCCTGCATCCCTTCAATATATCAAACCAAATTAATAATAATAAAAATACACATCATGGTTGGTAAAAAATTTAAACAAATCTAGAATAAGATGACTTTTTTTTACCTCCCCCCCTCCTCAAATTAACCAAGTTAGCAATAACATCTTAGTGGATGAACCTGTGATCTGTTGAAGTTATTGCTACCCCTTAGTCAAATTAACTTGAATGAACCAGAGGATGGGATTTCACTCAATTAATTAAAGTTATCACACTTCTTTGAATCACATTAATTGCCACTAAGCAAACAATGGGAACATTAACATAGCTCTCACAGATCTCCAGTACAAAGATGTACACAGTATGTTTGTCAACAATTAAAGGGTTTTACTTCTTACTCAGGAATTACAGTATTACTTCTAGACCTTCTTCAGAAAGAAAGTTTGATTAGTCAGAATACAACAAACAATAGGTTTATGGATTTATTTCTCCCAATAGGACACTTATAGCTTTAAAGACTATATAGTCAATTTAAATCTAAGTTTTAAAGCCTACTACCTACTCCACTGTTACCTCGATGAGGCTGCAATTACACATTACATTTTCTTCAAAGTTAGCATTTAGTTTTTGCTTCCCTCCACACTCTGCTTCACAGTCCTGAAGGTAACAGATGTGAGTGTCCTGGTTTTGGCTGGGATAGAGTTAATTTTCTTCCTAGTAGCTGGTATAGTGCTATGTTTTGGATTTAGGATGAAAACAATGCAATAACACCCTGATGTTTTAGTTGCTGCTAAGCAGTGTTTATACTAAGTGAAGCACTTTTCAGCTTCCCATACTCTGCCAGCAAGGAGGTGTAGAAGAAGCTGGGAGGGAGCATAGCCAGGACAGCTGATCCAAACTGGCCAAAGGGCTATTTCATACCACATGATGTCATGCTTGGTATACAAACTGGGTGAATTGGATGGGGAGCAGTGATCGCTGCTCAGGGACTGGCTTGGGCATCAGTATGCAGATGGTGAGCGGTTGCATCACTTGTTTTTCCTGGGTTTTGATCCTCTCTCTCTTGTTTTCCTTTTCATTACAATTTATTATTGTTATTATTATTATTAATTTCATTTTATTTCAATCATTAAACTGTTCTTATCTCAACCCATAAGTTTTCTTACTTTTGCTCTTCAGATTCTCTCCCCCACAGAAGCTGTGTGGTGCTTGGTTGCCGACTAGGGTTAAACCACGACAGCGAGTGACTGCAGAGCTATGCTGTGAGCTGGATCACTAAAATGATCAACCAAGAACAAATTAAGATAGCAGGGGGAGCACACCATGACAAGAATAGAAGAGATGCAGCTGGGAGTTTGTAAATCAGATGCTGGAATGGTCTGTCAGAACAACATAACCTCACAAAAAGTTACGATCAGCTTAACCTTGGGTCCAAGACTACAGCACTGGGACAGGAATTTCAGAACCTGACTCCAGTGTAAGTGGTGGCTGGCAACGAGATACATTTCTTGTGTGAAACAGGAAATCTTAAGCATTTATTGTCTCCTCAAGTTGTATGTTTGGGCATATAAGACTAAAATCAAAACCCTTGGTTGGGGTCTGGGGCCTCTTGGTCCTGATCCTCCCAGATAATTTAGGGAAGTACTTACACTCTTCCCTGACCTTTGCTTGGATGAAAGAATTCACGGAGATCAACAAATGGATATTCGGACTTCTCAGCTGACAGCATTAGGCTATGAACTATTACTTACCTCTTGAATGGCAGTCATGACAACATGCTGAACAGACTCTTCAAGGGTCATGATATTCTGTATGTGTTCTGTGAAAAAGAATTTGTAGTGACTCATGACAATGTTCATCTTAATGGCTTGAGTAACGTGACATACTGTTTGCAGAAAGATCCAGAAGAAACTATTCTCTATAAAGCTTCTTCAAAACAGGTAGTGCTCTTTTTATACCGAGCAGTACCGTTAACCAACAACATTATTATCCAGTAATATGGTAGATAAGCCTAAGAGATTATAATCTCTTAAGTGAACAAATTTATACTATGCATAATAGAGCAAGGAGATTTTAAGACATCTATATTTCCATGGTTCTTTTTTCCTACATACATCTATGTACATATATACATAAGCTTTTGCAAAAAGTCAACAAGCTTGCAACTGAGTTAATAAATAAAAAAAAGTAATCGCTAGCATCTTCATTCCCAACGCAGCCCGACGGCTTACTTCCCAAACACCTTTTATGAATGTGTTGGCTGCTCATGGCTTGGATGGGCATACTCTTTGCTGTGTAAAAACCTGGCTGGATGGTCAGGGCCAGAGAGTTGTAGCAAGTGGAATTAAATCCAGTTGGCAGCTGCTCATAAGTGGTGTTCCCCAGGGCTCAGTACTGGGGCCAGTCTGTTTGATATCTTTATCAATGAACTGGATGAGGGGATTGAGTGCGCCCTCAGTAAGTTTGCAGACGACACCAAGTCGGGTGGGAGTGTTGATCTGCTGGAGGGCAGGAAGGCTCTACAGAGGGATCTGGACAGGCTGGATCGATGGGCCAAGGCCAATTGTATGAGGTTCAACAAGGCCAAGTGCCGAGTCCTGCACTTGGGTCACAACAACCCCATGCAACACTACGGGCTTGGGGAAGAGTGGCTGGAGAGCTGCCTGGTGGAAAAGGACCTGGGGGTGCTGGTTGACAGCTGGCTAAATATGAGCCAGCAGTGTGCCCAGGTAGCCTTCTTGGCTTGTATCAGGAATACTGTGGCCAGCAGGACTAGGGAAGTGATCATCCCCCTGTACTCAGCACTGGTGAGGGCACACCTCAGTTTCAGGCCCCTCACTACAAGACAGACATTGAGGTGCTGGAGCGTGTCCAAAAAAAGGGCAACGAGGCTGGTGAAGGGTCTAGAGCACAAGTCTTATGAGGAGCGGCTGAGGGAGCTGGGGTTGTTTAGCCTGGAGAAGAGGAGGCTCAGGGGAGACCTTATCGCTCTCTACAACTACCTGAAAGGAGGCTGTAGTGAGGTGGGTGTCAGCCTCTTCTGCCAAGTAGCAAGTGATAGGACAAGAGGAAACAGCCTCAAGTTGCACCAGGGAGGTTTAGATTGGGTATTAGGAAAAATTTATTCACCAAAAGCATTGGAACAGGCCGCCCAGGGAAGTGGTTGAGTCCCCATCCCTGGAGGTATTGAAAAGATGTAGATGTGGTGCTTAGGGACATGGTTTAGTGGTGGACTTGGCAGTGCTAGGTTAACAGTTACAGAGACTTTTTGATACATAAGAAAGAAAAGCTTCTACATCTCTTCCACCTTTACAATCACCTGAGGCAGTCTGCTGTTTGTTGAACAGATTAAGGTAGTGTGTACCTTGTTTCCTTTCACAGTTGACTGCACAACCTAAAATAAGCTGCAGAAGCCTGCCCAGTTCGGTGGGATCCGAGTTCTCAGATATCTGGTTTAAGTCCGGAATAAGCTCTTCTGAAATCTGCTGACCCAAGAACTGAAAAAAAAATTAAGAGAGAAAGTGGACGCCCACTTTTGTACAACATGAAAATCTGGTATCATGTAAGAAATCTGGACTCAGTAAGACATCCAGAGAAAATGGTCTATTAATAAGTTTGTTACTGTAAAACTTATGGAAGGGAAAGATTTTAAACATTAAACGTGGAGATATACACTAAAAATATTGGCTTATGAGAGAGTACATAGATAGCAGTATCAGATTAGGAAAGCTGAAGAGGTCTAGATAAAGCAGATGTTCTTAACCGATTTGTTAGAGGGCTCCATACACGAAACCCAGATGTCTCACACCATGCCTCTCTTGGGCCACCAAAGACCATTTCAAATGTCTGTCTCCATCCCTCAGTGTGGAAGTATGTTTGGGGGAAGGGGCACTCAATCCACTGCTAGCAAACGACCTATACCATACTTCAGATTTTTCTCAGAATAGGCCTAAATTTAATCTAAAGTAGATAGCATAAAATATATATATATATGCAAAACACCTAGCAATTATTTAGTGCAATGAAGTTATGCACTTTAATAAGAGTTCTATAAAAATGTTCTGGCAAAACCACAAGTTTTGAAGGTCTATTAACTGTGGGTTTAGTTAACCGACCACTTACACAAGAAAAAGCGACAGTAATAAGTTAAAAGTTCTTGGGCTAGACCTCAAATATGAGAGAATTAATTTATTCTATTTCTATATTCCAATAAAAAAAGGAATTAAAAATGCTTCCAAATTCAGTTGCTCCCTAATCTTTCAAAAAGCTCCTCATAAGCCTAAAGAAGATCTACTTCTGGCCTTGCCAGAGAGCCTCAGTCCTGGCAATATGGAAGGGCTTGGCACTCGGTATCACAACTAAGCCCAGGCGAGACCAAGAAGCCATAAGATGATCTGGCAAGTTTTTCTATACCATACCCATTACATAACTGTAATCAAGCTCCATATAAAATTCAGCATTTTTTTTTATTTAACTCAAAATACAGCACCCTCTTATGGCTACTATAGCCATCCTGCATGAGAGAGAATGAACTATAATCTTTACTATGTCCAGGAGGATTCGTAACTTATCTCCTGGCTCCCAAGTGAGTATCATAAAACCCAGACTAGGGTTGCTGAATCTGTTCTGTTGTGTAGAGAAGGATTAAAACTTCACTAGACAAGAGCAAATACAAATGCATACACAGGCGTCAACAGCATTCTGCAGCTCAGTTCTTATGACATTCACTTGGGCAATGACAGAGACATGGTTTCCAGATTAGACTCTAAGAATCTTCCTGCTTAAGTTAATTTTATCTTCACTCAGTCCTCCCAATTAACCAGATAATTATCATACTTTCTGCCAAAAAAATCCTTAAAATAAATTACTTTGCCAAGAAAAAAAAAAAAAGCTAGGCGAAGGAAGACAATAATCATCATGTTTAATGATTAGAACAGCAAAAAAATTGTTGCTTTTTCCATACCTCATGATAGTAGTCCATAATTCCTTGCAGTATCTTCTTCAGATTACTGGACTAATTGTTGTACATGAAAGATAAGGTTACAGGCTTTTATTAAAATTCTTAATTTTGCTGAAATTAAATAATACTTTATAATAAAATGTTTACATAGCAGATCTACAAGAGGACCCTATAATGACAGGGGAAGAGAAATATTGCAACAGAAAATCCCGATGCAATAATGCTGGAAGGCACTTAAACTATCAACAGACAGTTGAAATTCATTTAAAATAACCTAAAAAAGTCTGAGCTTAATTCTGTAGTTTTTGGACTGCTAGATACTCTCAGGACAGACACAATATCCAACCCCACAAACTTTCACTAACTTCAGCTTTGAATACCTTTATTCTCCAGTTGTCACCAACATCATTTTTAATGCGATTTAGCCAAGATGCATCAAACCAAGCAACATCTCTGAAACAAAATTAGATGATTAAACATCAATAAGCACTCACTTAAATAAATAAGATACCAGATTCCCAGCATTAAATCATCAGATGTTTGACTACAGTGTCTAATGAGGCATGAATTCCTGGAGATTGCAAGTTATACCTATGTCACAGGAAATTTCCATCCTGATGGCTGAATTAAGACACCACCTTCCAAGGCAGGAAGAATTTCTGTATATGCTTGAGCTAGCTACAGCTAAGAACATAAGGATGTGAAGGCCTCTGTCATGCTGAATTTTCACACCTGACAAAGTGATCATAATGATGTAAAGAAACATCCCCTTTTGACTAGTGCTGATGTTAAGTTTGATACCTACTCCAATTCCAACATTCGCTAAAATTCGTCAAAGGCACTTATCAAGAGAAAAAAAAAAATTAAACTACTGGCATTTCATATTTTTTTCATGTCTTTGGTTCCCCTGGGCAGCATAATTCCCACTCTGCCAGCACAAATAAGGATGAGTTGCTGAGGGAGTTGTTTACACACACTGAGCTGCCAAGTGGTACAATCACAGAATATCTAACAATATCTTAACTTTTACACCATGCTGTTTATTCACTGTTCTCAAAGCACCTACTAAAAGAAAGACAATTATTATCCCCACGTGCATATCAACCAACTTGGTCGTAAAGAAGTTTGCCCAAAGCCTGTGGCAGCCTAGTACCATAAACACATGGGAAGTGACCCTCAGTGAATCTTCACTACGCAATCCTAAATCCATTTTTGCCATGGCCCAGGAAAAGGTTGAGCTCTGTCTTTACACAACACATTTAAAACCTTTTCAAGCATTTCTGTGGTTGGCTTTTTTGGGGGGCTTTTTTTGTTTTGTTTTTTTGGTGCGTGATGGTGGTGTGTTCATTTTAAGTAATTTCTTAATAATCAAAAATATAGTTCAAGCAGGAGATGGTAATTCAGACTTCTTTATTATCTGAGCCAACAACAACAATAAAATTCCAGTGATGACTTGTAGCATGATACACTTTCAATAAGACTCATGTTACAACCCTCTGAAGTAACTTTAAATTTCAAAAGTAGCGTGTCACTCAACCCAGTACCATTTGTCATCACACCAATAAAATAGGAATGATTTTGCTTTTGATTAGCCCTCTATTATTTTTTAATAATAAAATTGCCATTGAAGTTTCATGATTCTTTTTTCCACAGAAATAGTAAGTTATCATTTCAATCCTAGAACTTAAATCTAAATCAACTGAGCAATCCCAAGAGGAAAGAAGCACAAAGACATGCCTTTTGAACTTTTAGGTCCTCATTCCAAAGAGGAACATATTGCCTGAAGCATGAATACCCATGGAAATCGTGTTGATGGAAAATTGAAAAAGATCATATCATTCTTGCCCAAACACCCTTAAGTATGAATTTAATACTGCAGTTTTAGAATATCTCCTCATCACCTTCTCTACTCTATCACATTATTATTCAACCATTTTATCATCCCCAAAACAATAACATAAAGGTATATTTTACCTTCTGCTATAAACTGTCTACTCTCAGTTTCTGTCTACTTTAACTATACAAAAAACTTCGGTTGGGAGAAAGCGACTATGCACATCAAACACAAAAAACCTCAAGAAATTAAATACCTCTTCTTCAAACTTAAGTATCAACTTACATTTGGTGAAGTACCTGCGCCATGGCAACGCCACTGGTCAAGTCCTGAACATCTCTGCAAGGTGCAGCAGTACGGAAGGTCTGCAGCTAAAAGAGGGAAAAACATTGTGTTTTTTGCTCAGTAGACAGGTAGAGGAATCAGTTACCATTTTCCTTTTCCTCTTTAAGGCACAAACATTTAGCAAGATGTCTTTCTACTGGAGGCAGCTGAAATCCTTTTTGAACTATGTAGTTTTTAAGCCAACCCAATTATCTCAATACTTGTGACTGTTGATTATGACTAGTAGCTTAGTAAGTTAGTATTACCATGCTTTGCTTTTTCATGCTAGTCCTTCTATTGTAAATCAGATTATGGAATACTAACTTGGGAAACTTAAGTCATATTTATCCATCCCTCGAATTATGTTAGGGTGCTTAGCTCTGGACACATAACTACCTAAACAAAAATGGCATCAGAAGAACAGGCGAAAGTTGAAGGAAAAAAAAAAATCCAGTCTTTTACTACAAGCATTTAGTAATAGAAGTCATGACACCAATAGAGAACCCTGAAATTATTTGGGGGTTAAGAACAGAATGGAGAAAATTACACAAGAACAGTGGAAAAAACAGTTGTCTGAGAGCTACTGCACACTTTAAGAATATGAAGATAGCTGAAAAAGACTGAACCATTTCAAGTCCTGTGAGCTGGCAGCATATTTCCTTGCAATTCAGGAATTCCAAAATTACTCTAAAGGTGTTCCTATTTAAATATGCAACTTCAAAATACTGCTATCAACCCAAGAAACTTTACTATAACCTAAAGTTATACATCTTTTCCTAGTAATCATATTTTATTCATATATTATTCCTGGTATTTATATCTAATATATATACACATATTTTCCTGTTATTTTCTAAGCATCACACTACCTAGTGTTTAAGCACAGGGCTGGATGCAATTTTACCCTGTCTACATATTTTTGTCTAAAGATTAAGCAACGAAGCCTCAGTTTTCACTTTTCTCCTCTACTACAAAATCAGATTATAGGTGTAAGCATTTTATAATAAGTTGCCTGATCTATTCTATATGATGGTTACATGTGATCTTCATATTCTAACTGGTGCTTCCAGTTCCTTTGTAGTAGGCCTATTAAAGTCCCTTTGTAATAGGGCTATACAAACAAGATGCAACTCCCATCCTAAAGAATAAAATTTCATAGCTCAAGTGTTTTGCAGCTAACTTCTCCAAAAGCAACTCAAATGACATGAATACCTTCAACATGTCTACATCCTTGTAAGAGCACTGCAATAAACACCCAGCAGACAGCTCTATACATAAGAACCCCATCATCAACCTGATGTATAACACTAGATTACACAGCCATAGGCAGCTCTTCAGCTGCCTGCAATTAATTCTGACTGCTTCATATATAAAGCCTTAAAACATGGAGGTACCCAGGTCCTCGGATCACTCCACAGACCGTAAAAATTGACTGCAAACTCTGCAAAATACTCCATCAGGCTCCAGGAATTTGTGTCTTGGAGAACCCCTGGAGCACAGACAGTACATTGGTATTTAACAGTCCTCAGTGAAGTTTTCTTCCATGAACTTGTGCAGACTCTTCCCCTGTTGCCTTCTCCAGGAGCTCAAGTCTGTATTGACCTTTACCATACCCATCTCCTCCCACTGTGCTTTTCCCAGGACCAACAGTCCTCATCTGTTCAGCCAGTTCTCATATGGAAGCTCTTCCATACTTCCCATGAGGACAGTAATTTTTTCTCTTTAGTTTTCTGGTTTTCCCGCATTTAAGATCTGTAGGATGAGATTACCTCAATGTTAAAAATGTTTCTCCTTTTTGGATATTGTGGTGGGTTTTTTTTTAAACTACCCCCAAGCTCTCATCTAACATTTTCACAATTATCTATTATAGTTGCAATACTTTATTCACCAAAAAACCAATCAGCTCAGAGCTAACTATTCTAGGTGAGAAAGCCATTTCCCACACACGTGTCAGTTCATCACATGGTTACTCAGGAAAATAAGAGCTCACCAGTAATTCTTTTACATTCAGCCTTCTTTATAACAATGAATAAAACAGAAAGGTGAAAGTTTGCTGTTAATACTATTAAAAGATGTATATGTGGAATAGAATGGAAGCAAGAACAGATCCTTATAATCTCTGCCCACTGCAAAAATTGACTTCTTAAACTCACTACGCTTACAATGTCCTAAATTATGTGTCCATCTGTGAGAGGGCTTTCCCAAACATCTTGTGAAACGTAAGCTTCTTCAGAGGTCACTGGTGAATGACCTTGTCAAGTGTGTTTGGGAAATGGAGCTACTTGGACAAGAGTGGTAGAAAAGTACAGTTTCCAGCTGTGAGAATTTGAGGCAGTTGTCATCCATTCTATGTTTATAAAGAGTGACCACATATGCTGAATATTTGTTTGCTTGCTTCAGAAAGAGTCTAATAAGCCAAGAACAGAAAAAAACGCAGAGCAAGGTTTTGTTATCATTTGTTTGGGTTTTTTTTTTTTTTAATTAAAAAAAGTATTTTTTAAATCCTGTATTACAGCAAGTGAGAAGTCAGTAATCCCTGGCAGGTTACATAAAAGATTAACTAGAAGAACACAAACTGCAGCAGCTGTGATTGACAGCACAGGTTTCTAATAGTATCGCAGCCTTAATGCCAATGCAAGAACAGGCACGCAAGATTACAAGTCAAGACTCAGCATGCCAGAATGCAGAGTTTTATGGCGCAATATCGTGATGCTGCCATTTGAATATACTCCCTTGTAAACCAAAGCAATTGCTAAGTACAGGTACTACCATTTCACCCAAGCCAGTTAGAGCAGGTGAACAAAGCCTTAGAAAACCCTGTGACATGCAACACTGCTTTATGTATGCCAGTATCTCCCAGAATAGAAACAGCTAATTAAAATTAAGCAAAAAGCAGGACTGACAGTCTTAGTTTCTCCATATATTTAAAAGTTACATAAGCACCTAGAAATAATATGAGAGTAGTATTAATTATGGGTTCTCCAAGCCCCATGCCAGCCCAATCATTTCCTCAAAACAGATTTTTACTGTACTTACAGAAACAATAAAGGTAATGGGCATGGCGAGGAGGTTGTTAGGAGCAGCCGTAGACTTCAGGACTATGTAGTACTCCTAATCTTTTTTCAAATTTGATTAGTTTTACTAAATGTAGCTTCAAGCACATGCTGCTACTCATGATGAAGATCATTCCACAAATCTAGCTTAAACGCACCCTGCCACTTGCTGCTACGAGAGGAGCAAGTATTTTTCCCTCAGACGTACAGCTACTATGCTCGCAATATACACTTGAAAATTTAATTCTATATCATGTAACACTTATGCCTTTTCTCTGGATCTGCTGAAGGCTCTACCACCAAACAGCTGTAGATTAAACAAGACTGTTCACATTACTCAGTAGAAATCAACCTATCCAACTCTTGGGAAGGTATGCCCTCAATTGCAGCTGGACGATGTAGAATTGAGGTTCTCTGTTTTATAGCCAGACTACACATACTAGGGATAGAAGTTTTATAGAATTAGTCAACGACATTTTAAAGTAACAATAAACATTCCCATTCTTAATCCCAGAATATTAATAGAATAACTCAGCCATTGGCAAAGTCAACATTACCAATGCTGCCAGTACCAAACAGGGGTACATCTATTGTAGAAAAAGCTTTCTGTTTAAGATGTTACCATATATCTAGTCTCTAGTTTGGAGACAAAGACAGAAGCAGCCTCAGAGAGGTACAGTACCGGAAGACATTCAAGAAACTTTTGCTCTACTACAGTAAAGAAAACACTTATTGTAATGGTACCTAAACACAGAAGATACTACTGCATTGCTAGGCCTACTGCTGCTACTCTTTATCACTCCACTCCTACCCACAGGCAGAAAATATTAAGGTTCACTTCACATATATGTGAACCAAAGTTTGTCTTTCTGACTTAGAAAATTGTTTCTGCAACAGACTTGTGAGTTCAACCTTAACAGATATTACTTATGTCAATTTTCCTTGGAAATTCATACACACATTTCCCCTATAAGTTAATCTAACTCCATAATGTTTTTCCGGTAACATCCTCAAAACTTTAAATTCAATGACACTTGGGTTAAAGAACCAATAGATAACATTTTTATTTGTGCCTTCTCTTTCTTCTCTGGATAATGCATGTTTTCTAATATAGAATTTGCTAAAATAAAAAAAAAAATACAAGATCAGCAGAACACAAGAAAATCAGAAGCATCTCTTTGCTATATTGAGTAAATAAATGGAGAAACCTTTAGAACCACAGTTACAGAACCCTTTTCTCTTCAAATACATAGCACTTCAGCCCCCCCTGCCCAAATATGCTCAGCTTCAGAAGGTGAATTTTTTTTCCTATTATTCAGTCTGAAGTTCAAGTTGAAAGCATGTTTGAAACATACCTCAGTGTTAACAATCGTCTTCTACTAAGTTGTAAACAAGGTCCCAGAAATAGGGTGTTAAATCTAAAAACATGCATCTGGCAATGTATCTGCTGAGTGTTGCATGCAAAACCTAAACACACAGAGTTGGATGTTCATTTACATCAATGACACTACACAAAGCTCTTTCAGTCTAATGCTGGTTAAAGTTCCATTAGGAGTCCCTTTAAGATTCATGATGTAATTACAGCCATGCACTGTGGCAATATTAAAAATGAGAATTAGGTTTAAAATATTTTAAGTGGGAATTGTAAAAATTATAGGAGTTCAGCACTGCTGACAGGATTTTGAGACAGAGTTGAGGAATGCATTGATTTATTTTGCAATTGAATCATGATGGAGTTATTCTTACCTGACTAGTAAGAGAAAAATACAAAGTTAAAGAACCCAAAAAAGAGAAAGCAAAGGATGCATAGATTAAACGACAAAAGATATGCAACTGCAGAGAGGTAAGCATAAGATGACTGAAATTCTAATGACCAACAAAACATTGAAAGCATACAAGGTCACAGAAAGGAAAATGGAGGCAGGAAAAGAAAGGAGGAAATTGATTTTCAGTGATTTATTACAGACTTTAACTCATTAAAACTTCTATATTGTCATGTAGCAACTAAAAGGAACACCTACTCTTGTAGCTGTTGCTATCACTTTTGCCAGTTTCGCTCCTGGATCTCCACAATGCTTCTAAAACACTCCCTTCTTTCCCTGATTCACACTTCACATAGACAAAACACCTGCTATTTCTAGAGCAACCCTTCACACTAGGTAATTGCGGCCTTCCCTGCCAAGATTTCATGCAAAAGTTCTATTTAACAGAGCTCACTCTCAGCAAAAATACTGCATCTGCAAGATGAGAATTACAGACAAGGAAGCAGAAGAAACTTGTAAAGAACAAGGGATAAAAAGAAAGCAAGCTTGATTGAACTGAAGAAATACGTGCTTCTTGCACAGGCAACACCACACATTTAGGTGTGCTGCGACTGACTGTAATTAATGCTTCAACCAACTGAAAGCTGGTATGGAATGTTCTGAGGTTTCTGCTCCTGTCAACTCAATTCAAATTAATTGCATATATTTGTTATTATTGTTAATTACTGAGCAGTTTCCACATTGAAGCCACTGCTGGAGAACCACTACTTGGACCTACAGGACATTCAAAAGACCACATCTGCGCTTCAAGGGTGCTTGCAAGAGCATTTCACTGGTTGTAAGAACACTCGGTTCTCATGCAGGCCCCATTACTGCAGCCATGCCTGTATCCCAATCGCCTCCAGCTGCTGCTCGCTTGCCG